ACAAATATCCTAGATGGTTCAAGTAGTAGTCACTCTTAACCCTTATTCAAGTTGCAAGTATGTCTACCTAACCCTTGAGCGTAAATTTGGGCAGCGCGCCCTTTGTATTTTCCTATTTTCCAGCCATTTATGACTTCATTCTTTTCTTCAATCAGTCCCAACATTACACACAACATAAATAGCCGTTCAATAGGCTCAATGTCATATGATTACCAAACCAAACTAGAAAAATTGACCGGAAATGAAGTTGAAGGCCTAAAATCAAAGGCAGATTTGACGTCACTTAGCGTATCGGACACAACTGAAGCTACACTTATTCGAGTAGGGTGAAATTTATACCGTTTCGAAGCTAAGATAGAGTGATACAACTTTGATGAAGACTACTCAGCCCAGTTCATAGTGTATCTAGGTCAAAAGTCCGGATTACAGAACCAAAATCTCACATTTGGGCTAGTTAACCGTATTATGCGTAAACGATAATAACTCAGGCTACCAAAGTACGATTGAGGTGTTTTCAATTGCGTTGGAAAGCTGAAACATTGGGCTAAAACTTTAATGTTTTGAGTAAAAGCTAGTTCAGTATGTATCAAGGTGAACAAACGCAACCAACTTCATGTACTGTCAAACTATCCACTAATTTTATTCCTATGGCAGTCAGGGTATTTTCATCTTTTCATATTCTACGTTGCTCTGATTGAGCTGAAATTTTGTAGAAAACTATAAAATGTTATTCTATACAACTTTTATATTTTGTTCTAAGCCTAATTCGGCCTCTAATATGATGCAATGGAATTGGACAGAACTGAAGTCACAATTTCCAGAAATCTAGAATTTTGCTATATTCAAGCTATACTTCTCATTTTTACCTTGAAACTACCACTACTATCACCTTTACAAGATCATACACCACATATATGCATCATACAACTCCTAACCCACAAGAAATCCTAACTCAAAAATCATCCATCTAATCATCAAAATCATTTGAAACAAGCATTACAAACACAATACCAACATTAATACCTAATTTAATCATGATTAATGGAAAAAGAATGGTTGATCAGCCATTATACCTCAAGACAAGAGTTTGCTAGGTTGATCCTTCACCTCTCCTTGAAATTCTTGGTTCCTTAAGCTTCCCAAGCTTTCAACTAGTGATTAATCGGTTTAATTTTTGTTGGCTGCACTCAAGAGGTTGGATTCAAGGTAGAAGATTGAACTTTCTTCACTCTCTTGCTCCTCCTTGCACTCGGCCAAAACAGGAAGAAAATGAGGTAAGATGAACTCAAATGGAAGATAAGAAGGTGAGACTTGGCTTGGTCAAGAAACTATAGGTGATTGACACTTGTCACCACCTAAGCCTTCCAAGTTTCTCTTTCTTTTCCTTCCAAGTTTCATGGCCACAATTTTTGGCCATGTGGTTGAGGATGAGGGGGGGATATTTTGCAAAAATATCAAGGGTATGTGGTGGTAAGGAAGTAGTGGTCTAGTGGTGGGTTCAATCGGTAGTGATCGATACCCGTTGGTTTGAACCGATTTTTCTTAAATCGCGTATACTAGGGTTTTTAACTTCTAATCACTAACTTATTATTATCACTTCTAATCATTTAATATTTTCTCATCCAAAAGTCACTCTTACCTACCAAATTCGATCCTCACTCCGTACCAAATAATCATACTACGGAAAAACGTGAAAACCCTAATTCATACTAACTTAAAATCGAAACGTGAAACCTTACTTTTTAGGTTCATTTGCACTTATTGTGGGGTAATTGAGTAGTAAGGCTATTATAGAAAGAGAAGGCAGCCGGGCATCGGAAACTTTAGTGTCGGACAAAGCTCAAGGAACGAGCCGCCCATTAAAATATGTAGGGGTGCAGGAGGTCCACGACCGGCGGGGATTTCAAACCAGGGAAGTGCCGGAAGGGGACAAGCGGGGCGAGGGCCCCAAAGAGGTGGCCACAGAGGAGGGGCGACTACAGGGACGAGACTGACCTGTGATTTTTCGGAGGCAATCATACTACGGATAATTGCTGGAAAAATAGTGCAGTTAGGAAATGCTTTAAGTGTGGCAGTACAGAGCACCTGATTGCACAATGCCCAAATATGCAGACTGAAGAAAGCACTTCACGGGCAGAAAGGACTACGCCAAAACCAGTAAATGCAGCAGGGAATCGACCGAAAGTACTTGCGCGGGTTTATGCTATGGGCCATCAGGAGGTGACTGACCCTTCGGCAGTCATCGAAGGTACGCTTTCTATATTTCTGTGTACCGCAAGGGTGTTAATAGATTCTAGTGCTACCCATTCTTTTGTGAGTCCTGCATTTATGGCACATATAGATATTAAAGTAGAAAAGCTGCCATATGATTTGGAAATAAAGACTCCTATTACCAATAAGAGCATCCTTACCAATACGATGTACAAAAGCTGTGACGTGTGGATAGGGGAACGAAAGTTATCGGTAGATTTAATAGAGTTAGCTCTTAAAAGGTACGATCTTATATTAGGTATGGATTGGTTAGCTAAGTATCATGCACGCCTAGATTGCAGTACGAAAAAGGTTGACTTGCATATACCGGGTGGGCCTACATTGCAATTAGATGTACGAGAAAAGTTAGCCTCTACCACTCTTATTTCTGGGATTCGGGCCCAGAAATTGCTAAGTAATGGTGCTTGAGGGTTTTTGGCCATGTTGATTAATACCCCAAGAGAGCAATTAAAAGTGGAAAAAATGTGCCGGTGGTGTGTGAGTATCTTGAGATGTTTCCCAAAGAGTTGATCTCACTACCGCCGGAAAGAGAAATCAAATTTAAGATTGATCTGCACCCAGGGGCGGAACCAATATCGAAAACCCCTTACCGCATGGCTCCTGCGGAACTGAAGGAATTGAAAATACAGTTGCAGGAATTATTGGATCGAGGATTTATTCAGGAAAGTGAATCTCCTTGGGGAGCTCCGGTACTATTTGTAAAGAAAAAAGATGAAGGATTACGGATGTGCATCGATTATCGGGGACTAAATAATCTCATGATTAAGAACAAATATCCCCTACTACTGATTGATGAGTTATTTGACCAACTGCAGGGTGCAATTGTATTTTCTAAGCTGGATCTTCGACAAGGATATTACCAACTAAGGATCCGGAAGGAGGATATCCCTAAGACCGCGTTTAATTCGCGGTACGGGCATTTTGAATTTACAGTCATACCCTTTGGATTGACAAATGCTCCAGCCGCATTTATGGACTTAATGCACCGAGTCTTCAAACCTTACATAGACCAATTTGTTGTGGTATTTATTGATGATATTCTGATCTACTCGAAGACTCGTGAAGATCATGAACGGCACTTGAGGTTAGTGCTACAGACTCTTAAGGAGCACCAATTATATGCTAAATTTAGTAAGTGTGAATTCTGGCTGGACAAGGTGTCTTTCCTTGGACACGTGATTTCAAGAGATGGTATAGCGGTGGACCCCGCTAAGGTGAAAGCCGTCACAGAATGGAAACGGCCAGAGAGCCCAACTGAAGTTAGAAGTTTCTTAGGGTTTGCAGGATATTATCGCCGCTTCATAAAGGACTTTTCAAAGATAGCTGGACCTCTGACGGACTTGACTAAAATTCACAATCAATTTATCTGGACTTCGAAGTGCGAGACTAGTTTTCAAGAGCTAAAAGGGCGATTAACTTCTGCATCGATTCTTACTTTGCCCAATGGGAAAGAAAGCTTTGTGGTATATACGGATGCGTCTCAGATGGGTTTGGGATGTGTACTTATGCAAAATGGACAAGTGATAGCCTATGCATCCCGAAAATTGAAACCCCATGAGCAAAATTATCCGACTCACGACTTGGAATTAGCTGCGGTGGTAGTTGCTCTTCAAAAGTGGCGACATTATTTATATGGGGTAACCTTTGAGGTTTTCACCGACCATAAGAGTCTCAAGTATTTATTTTCGCAGAAAGAGCTGAATTTGAGGCAGCGTAGGTGGATGGAATTCTTAGAGGACTATGACTGCACTATTAAATACCATCTCGGTAAGGCTAATGTAGTAGCTGATGCCCTCAACCGGAAAGCCCAGGTTTCAAGTCTACAGGTAAAAGAGTGGGAGCTACTAGAAGAAGTTGGGAATTGGAATCCTCAACTCAAGTCACACAAAATGCTGTTTAGCAATATTACGGTGACTTCCACGCTATTGCCTAAGATAAAGGAGGCTCAGAAGGAGGACCCCCAAGTACAGAAGTGGAAGGAAAAAGTCAAGAAAGGGATGATACCCGATTTTAATGTGGATTCGGATGAGATGTTAAGGTATAGAAATAGATTGGTTATACCGCAAGATACGAATATCAAGAAAGAGCTGTTGGAAAAAGCTCACCGCTTGTGATACACAGTACATCCTGGTACGATGAAAATGTACCATGATTTGAAGAGTTTATACTGGTGGGATGGCATGAAAAAGGAAATCGCTCAGTTTGTGCAAACATGTCTAACCTATCAGTAAATAAAGGCTGAGCACCAAAAACCCTCAGGTTTACTCCAACCGTTAGAAGTACCGGAGTGGAAATGGGAGTAGATTATTATGGATTTCGTATCCGGTTTACTGCGAACACAAAAGGGGCATGATGCCATTTGGATAATTGTAGACCACTTGACCAAATCAGCTCATTTCCTAACCGTGAACATGAAGTACACCCTAGAGAAACTAGTTCAACTGTATATGGACGAAATTATATGATTACATGGCGTACCCGTGAGCATAGTTTCGGATTGAGATCCACGATTCGTATCACGGTTCTGGCAAAGGATGCAAGAGGCTTTAGGCTCTAAACTCAAGCTAAGTACAGCCTACCATCCTCAGACAGATGGGCAATCGGAGCGAACGATACAAACTCTTGAGGATATGCTCCGATCATGTGTAATGGATTTTGGGGGAAATTGGAGCCAACACCTCACATTAATAGAATTCGCATACAATAATAGTTACCACTCCTCCATACAGATGGCACCGTATGAAGCGCTATATGGACGTAAGTGTCGCTCTCCGATCTTTTGGGATGAAGTTGGCGAAAGAAAGGTCTTGGATTCGACTATGGTGCCATGGATCGAAGAAGCAATAGAGAAAGTTAAAATTATCCGCCAGAGGATACAGACGGCTCAGAGTCGGCAGAAAAGTTATGCCGATTACCGAAGAAAGGATCTGGAGTTCGAAGAGGGAGACATGGTATTTGTCAAGGTAACACCACTCCGAGGAACGATTACGGCTAAGATGGGGAAGAAATTGAAGCCTCGATATATAGGACCGTATAAGATTCAACGGCGCGTCGGGACAATGGCGTATCAGTTGGAGTTACCAGCTAGTATGTCTCGAATTCACAATGTCTTTCATGTCTTGTTATTGAAGAAGTATCATCCAGATCCCGCACACATCCTACACACAGAGGACGTCGAGTTAGATGAGACCCTCACCTATGAAGAGCAACCGGTACAAATTTCGGATCGAAAGGTAAAGGAGTTAAGGAATAAGCAGATTCCTTTGGTGAAGATCTTATGGCGAAATCATGATGTGGAGGAGGCCACCTGGGAGGTGGAAGATGACATGCAGAAAAAGTACCCCGCTCTGTTCGGGAATTAAGGTAATAATTTCGAGGACGAAATTGTCGTAAGAGGGGGAGGTTGTGAGACCCCGGTTCGTCCTTAATTTTGTTAATATGTGAATGAGGGTTTATTTATGTTGCAAAGGAAGTTTTAAGATTTATTTGATTTCCTTACATATTCGTTTTTGACAAAACCCTAATCGGAACCTTCCAAAACCCTAAGTTGGGTTTTGACCTCTAATTTCATCCATGGTATAAAGTGTGTGCATTAATTGCATTTGTGTATGTTAATACATGGTTAAATATAGGTGATTAAGTTGGTAGGGTGATTAGTGGAGAAACTAGGAAGATTAATTAGTTGGGACTAGATTAAGTTTACAACCTATGGAGTACATTGATAGGAAAGGAAAGGTTTAAGAGCAAGAGTGGAACAAAAGCTAAGTTGAAGTGCAAGGGCTAAGAAGCAAATAAGGTACTTTTGTGTGATTGGTTAGCCATAAGAAATATTTTTCCTAAGTGGTCTTGCACCACATATTAGTCACAAGAGTCATGACCAAGTCATTAGTAAGACAAAACAAAGCAAAACAAGAGAGTGAGAGAGAGAGTGAGCCGTGAGGGAGAAGAAGAAAAACCAAGGGAAAGTTTGCAAAGTTCAACCAAAATTCTTCCATAAATCTTCATCTTGAGGCATAAAGAATCCACCTTGGAGTTGGCTTAAGGTCATTAGCAGCCATACATACGTTATCTTGAGGTAAGAAAGTCTAGTTGAAGGTTTAAATTGGTTAATGATTCATGAACTAGTGGTTATTGTGGTCAAGGATGTTAGTTGTGATTAATTATGGTGCCTTTTATGTTTCCCACTTGTTTTTATGGATTGATTTGGTGGAATTTGGGGCCTTGATGTTTGGCCATATGAACCCTAATTAGGGTTTCATGCTAAACATTTTAGTTAGCTCTAAGCTTGTGTTATTGAACTTGTAGTGGTTGTGTTTGATGATTGGCTTCATTTGTTTGGTGAGTGAGTGGTAAAAACTGATTTGGGTTAAGAAACCCTAGGCTAAAGCAAGGAGTATAAGCTTGGTTAAGGGTTAGCTTGGTCAGGGTTTGATGCACTAATGGTTAGATTAAGTTAATGGGTACATATGAAGTTAGGTTAGAAAGGGTAGTTAGTGTTTGGTTAGTTTTAGGGAATTTGTTGGTACAATTTCGGATCACTAGAAGGCTACATAGGATTGATTTAAGGGTGTGTATTTGGTAGGCAATTGGTTAGAAAACTTGCATATTACTCATAGAAACGGACCATGCATTCGTGGCACGCGAAACTGTTCAAATCCAAAAGCAGGGCAGCCCAGACCTCCGGTTTTGGCTTCATTTTTTTTCTGTATGTTCAACATGGATTCAGGGCTTGCCCAAAACAGGAAAGTTGTAGATTTTGGAGTCCTTTCTGTGCCTACAAAATTTCAGGTCACACGGAGGTGTGTAGGCTGAGTTATAGTCAAAACCCTCACTCAGCTTTTATATTCTGGTTTAGTTACGTTTCGTGAATTAGCCTCTGTCCATGCTCAGTTTGCATGGATAACGATGGAACTGGGTGTTGATTTCTTCATAAGAAATGTAGAGCTTTGTTTTAGATTCAAAACGGTATAAAGTGCATCCAAATCTGAGCTTCATAGCTCCAGTTATGGCCAAAATAAGATCGTGTGTCAGAACTGCCTTGAACACTGGACAGTTCTGACAGGTACTTTGGCACTCAGTTTTCGTTCTGTTCTGAGTTGATCCAGGTCTTGGCCAGAACATAAAAGTTTTAGCCTTATGTCTTAGCTTTCCAATGCCTTTGGAATTTCTTGATTCGGCTGTGAGCTGTGAGTTATGGTCCTTCCACTAGACCCTGTCCGCCACCCAAATTGCGAACTTCTAGCACTTTGTTTTATACTTTTGACTTGTTTCAGTTCAGAACTGGGTTGAGGTGTCTTCAGGAAAATTGTAGCTCCTTTCCTTAGCTTCGAAAAGGTACCTCAAACATCTCGATCCGACACTCATAGCCTACATTGTGTTCAAAACAGTTTTTGACTCCAAAACGGACACGTTTCCGTTTCCGTTTTCCGTTTCCGCGCGCCCGCATGGGTCGCTTTTGCTGTTTTGCTTGTTTGTATGCATTGTGATATTTGTTTGAACTATGTTATGACTCAATCTTCTATCACAGACGGTGACGAGGTGAACGGAGATGGTGGGACCCACTGACAGTCGAGTTTGACCAAGTGCCGTTTTTTGTCTACCTTTGGACTCTACGTAAGTAACGGTGTTTATGTGTTATGTGTTAAATGTCACCAATGTGAATTGTATGTGATATAAGGGTGCTTAGGCGAGTGTGTACTTTATTTCACTCGACCTAAACCCTAATCTGTACTTGCAATTGATATGAATTATGACATATGAACTGTATTGGGACTGAAACCCTGGAGCATGTGGCTCGGGGTGGTTATTTGTGTGTGTGTGTGTGATGTGAAGCTATGTGGGGGCCCGATCTAAAGGACTAGACGGACTATTCGAGCCAGTTAGGGTTTGGTCGAAGTTAGTCCAAACTATCCTTAAGATTACCAACTTCGTGAATACAATTCGAATATGATTCGAAGCTCGAGCCATTTGTGTGTGTGTGTGGATACTAGCCAGAGTGGGTGTTAGGTGGTCGGAGGAAGAAAGTGGAGTTCTACGGACCTTTTCTTGTGGTCGACGGGGGGTCGACAGGTGATCATGCATGGTGGATGACTTGGCTTTGGAGCCAATCCGTATCCTTGCATTGTTTTGTTACTTTTGCTTTTATTGTTAATGTTGCTGTTATTTTGATATCTTAGTGGCATAAATGTCTAACTTGATGCAAAATTACCATTTTGCCCCTGCTTGCTTGCTAAGCTTTAAGCTTACCCGTTTTTCTTTGTTAATTCCTTAACAGGGGCCGTACGCTGGGATCACACTTCACGAGAGTTATATCCCTAGAATTGACCTTTGTAATTATACTAGTTGGACTTTCTAGGATGTTTTTTCTTGATTCTCATAGTTAGGGTTAGGATGCTGCTTAAGGCCCACTTTTGGTTTTAATTCTCATTTTTGTGTGATGTAGTGGACTGGAATGTCCCTTCTAAAGATGTACATATTGTAGATGGTACTTTTGAAGGGGTATGATTGTAAATAGTATCTTTTGATATTTAGTCTCTTTTATTTACTTTTCGTTTTCGAGTCCTGGCGCGAGTCAGGCAGACGGTCTGCCAAACCCTTTGGTACGCCTCTGGGTGCGGTGGGGTCGTCACAGTTTGTACATTTAAATCTTGTATTTATAGACACATCTGGGTATTTGTAGAATGTGGGCCTATTTGACAATCATTTGTGCATTTGGTCCAATTCATATAAGTTGTGTTTTTGTGCAATTACCAAAATGGGGTTATTATGTAAATAGAGCCACGTAATTATAACCTCAGTAATTGCAATATAACTCTATTTCAATTGTCTGAAACATTCATAATTATATCAACACTCATAATTATAAGCTCAGCCATTTGAAACAACTTCTCTACCGGTAATAAAATGCTATTTACATCCCAATTAAACGGCCAATAACGTGGATATACTGCTGAGTTATTATCTAAACATCAGTTATGGCTCTTTCAATTTTTCCTCCTTCACATTTTTCAGTTGTCCCCATTTCGACCTCCAAGCCTGTGTTATGTTTTTAGCCTTTACATTCAGCATTTTATAATGGTTTTCAGCAGAAGCTATATTTCCTTAATATTACTTAATATGTGTTGTTATCTTATTTTATCTTTATTTAATTGCTCACCACAGACGCTTAAAAAATTCTTTTCAACCATGTGCACCAAACAGCCGCGCGATGCACAGGCATTCCCCACCTAGTTTTTCAAATTAATAAACAGTTTATCCAACGAAATGGGCACTTGTTGCTAACCATTCATAGAAGATGCTATTTAGGTAAATTCACTAATTCATTATGTGACTTCATCTATTAAGGTGATTTGCACACAAATCTTGGTAGTACTGATTGTATTGGCTTTTTCTTTCGTGATATCACCAACTTTATTAACCACAAATTCGATTATTCTTCCATTAGTGGATTGATTTTCTAGCATTTCCTGCACGATGAGATGAAGTTCTATATCACAAATTTCTATACAAAGTTGTAGTTCAGAATATTCGAGGAACCGTAACTTTAGTTTCTTGCATAATCATCAAGACCTTTAGTATTTGAAGGTGACAAATAACTTTGTCCTGGAAAAGTTTCATTCATGTCTACTACTTATTAGTTCTTCCTTATCGTTAGAAATTATGTCCTCTTCGAGACTGCTCAACTTAGAAATTTACCTGGAGGCCTTTTGTTTGTATCCTGTTCAACTTCAAAATGTTAAAACTCATCAATATGGATCATCCTTGAACCTTGGCAATTTAGTTTTAACTGGCCCTTAGATCCTACTAAAATTCCCACCCGTTTGATCATGAGATTTTGTTCGCTGATTAATTTGCATTAAAGAATTTTTAGAACTTCCAAATCATCGATGGGATAAAAATAAATTATTTTGCAGAGTTGGACTTCATATATTTATAATATTCGAATCAAGATGAAAGTTTCTAAAATTTTTTGCACGGACATAAGGTTTAATTTGTAAGTAAAGTGTTTAAAACCTTTCCAAATTTCAAAGGGAGAAAAACATAAATTTGGAAGACTTTGGAGTAGTGGTTCCTAGCCCCCATTTTCGTCCTCATTCAAGGTTTACCTTTCTTTGCTTCTTGAAGTACTAACTAATTGGTAGCCTTTGGCGCTAGAGCAACTACCCAGATGTTGCGGGCATTGCTTTCATCAGGGCCATGGTGAGGAGGAGTGCAGAATCAAGAACCCTGGATTGAGAACAGAGCCATAAAAGGGAGAGATTCCGAGGGTGAAACAAGTGTACCAGCAGAGGGTGAACCTGGCGGCCGAATGTGCGGGAGGAAAGGGTATGGTGGGAGAGTGCGATGGCACTACAGAGGTTGG